TCTTTAACTCTAACAGACAATCGGACATGCCAAATCCATTGATATGACAAATTGACAACTTCAAAAAACTTTCTTTCGAAACTAGAAATCATGATTTTTTTCAAATGTTTCCTGGGCTACTTTGTTTCTGCTCTCTAGACTCCCCTTGCGGCTCTAGTGCTCCACCCCTAGAATATAGACCTTACTGGGGTTTGGTGACACTTTGTGTTGCTTCAGTCACCTGCTCATGGCTCACCCCCCTAAAATTTCTGGCACCACCCCAGTAATAAATATGAAAATCCGTCTATGTCAACATGATTGACCGTGCGACCTTATTTTCTCCAGGTGGTTGCGGGCCGCTGCCAAAATGGCGTCTGTTAGTGTTGTCACACTAATTATTGAAAAAATCATGAAAAAAAAATTTCCGACCTACTGGCCCAAATTTTTCGCGATATGAAACTGGAACCACAGGTATTTTTTTATGCCTTGGGGGCGAAATGATCGGATATACTTCTAAACATTCTAACTCTGAATTTTTTTAATATTTCCTGTGGTGCCCCTCCTGTGCTCAGCCTAGATATTGATTTTTGCCTGTGGTCCCCCTTTGCATTTGATCCAAATTTTTCAAACCTGTTTTTAATCAATTGAATGCGATTATTTTGGTGAGAGAACATTTCTTGTGTTGCCCCAGGGGGTGCATTTTAATTTTTAAGTGCAATATGCCGAAGATCTTTGGCATTAGTTTGGCAAATTACAATACTATCTATAGTTAATCGACGACTTACGCTTTAGAAAAATTTTTAATCTGGGAATAACAAAGGATATTTTCTGAAAGAAGTTATCAAAATTAGAAAAACTGCAAAGTTTGGTTGCGAAATGTTGTAAAATACGGAAAATATAGCACTGCGAAGTTGGCAAATTTGTATACATTTCTATTACGTGCGGAAATTGGTAACTAATTTAGTTACCAATTCACGCACGTAATACAAAAGTATACAAATTTGCCAACTTTGAAGGGCTATATTTTCCGTATTTTACAACATTTCGCAACCAAACTTTGTAATATCACTAATTCCAAGACGCTCTTTCCAGCTGTAGTGATAGATTTCGTTGTTCTTACTTAGATTAAAATTTAGTCTAAAGCGCAAGTCGTCCATTAAATTAATATTTAAAGCAATTATTCCCCTAAGGCGAAGTGATTACTGGTGAATATTATAATACCTCAAATTCAAATTGCCCAACGAAAAAACATTTGTACCACATGACAATGTGATTTTTTAAGGTATTTCACTCAAATTCATGATTTTGCAATGCATCATGAGATACTATAATAGCCGATGGTAGATCCACCATGGGATATTATAGTATCTCATGTGTGATGTGTGGACACCATGCTCTGAAACAATATGGCATTCGCAAGTTGTTGTTAAATATTTCGTACCGAAGATTTAACCGAAGATTTTCAAGATGTATGTTACTGTAAATGATCCAAAGGATACACGTCTCCTTTTCGTTTTGTTCTGGGACGTTATGTTGCATTTATTTAACTAAATCAAACAGTGCAAGTTTTTTTGGGACACTCGGGATACATTTCTAACAGTCATCCTTTGTAAAGCGATGATTGGGCTAAGAAAATTTCAATATGTCATTGCTGTTGAAATGACTTAATTCATCACTTAAGGCTGTTTTCAACTAGGTGGAATTTTCCACGCAGAGCAGAATTTTTCTTTGTGTTGTGATTTCTCGGGTGGAACTAATTAGAAAAGACAAAGAGAAATTCCGCTCCACGCGCAAAATTCTGCCTAGTGGAAAACAGCCTTAAGGGACTGCTCATAATTTATTGTACAGGGGGAGACTGAGGAGAAACTCTACAATTACAATACAGTATTTTTTGTTGCCCCCCTCTTAAGACAAGTAAAATTTTCAAAGCCCCCCCCCCCCAACAGGCAAAACAAGAACATTATCCCCCTCGCCCCTCTCTTTGTATCTTTAATTAGAGAAACAAAATCTCTAGCTATTTATTTAGAGAAACAAAAATAGATAATGGGGAGCAATAGACAATTCACATTATAGACTAATTTTTTATCTTAGCAAAAAAGTATATTGAAATGTTGTAAAATGTAGGAAATATAGCCTTCCAAAGTTTGCAAATTTTGTATATTTTTGCATTGCAATTTTTGCATGCAATACAAAAGTATACAAAATGTGCAAACTTTGCAATAAGTCACCTGTGGTGACTTATTTGCATCAAGGCCGGATTTTGAGGGGAGGTGTGTGGAGAGATGTGCACCTCCCCTCATACAGTCATAATTCATTAATACACTGGTACATATGTACACTACATGCATACCTCACCTCGTTGATATTGGCCTGTTGTACAATAAGCCCTAACTTTCCATGGGGGTTGTGAGCTTGACCGCTGCACCTCCCCTAAATTTTTTTTCCACCTCCCCCACTATTTTCATCAAAATCTGGCCTTGATCTAAAATTAGTCTATAATGGGAATTGTCTATTTACATGAACATAAGAGACTTTTTGTTTGACTTCCATTTATCAATATTAAAGGTGTATAAACATTGTTAATATTTGTTGTTAAGTTGTTTTGTTACATTTTTCAAACTGTTTTTTCAAACTGGTAAATCTTTTCAAAGCCTCACCTTCTTTCGTCTCTCTGTAGTTTTTCAAAGCCCCCCTTTCAGTATTTCACATTTCACGCCAACAAATATCAAATTGACCATTCACGGCTCACGACAATACCCTTTCCCACCCTCATGTATGTATGTTGACCGAGCCAGAACAAGCTTGGTTACATGAAGTAACGGTATTGCTTCATCCAGTGCTGTATACAGGTCAGTGGCTCAGACAACTTCGGATTCGCCCGAAGAGCATATTCTTATTTAATACTGTATTTTTGTTGATTTTCAAAATGTTTAGTGAGCAAAGATTGTTGTGTTACAGTCGTGGTTGGGTCAAACAATATGCGGAAAGCAAAAATAGCGAAGGTAAAGAGATTAAAATTATATTGGATTTAGTTTTACCAAATATGGTAGTCCCCCGTGATGAGCTTGTGACGTCAGCTACATACGGGACTTCGGGGGGAGTTTTTGGCGGGAAAATTTGTAAGGTTTGGAGAAGACAAGATGGCGCTGGTTACTTCGTGTCATCAAAGGGCATTTTTGTTCACAAATACCCGCTTATTTTACGTTATAGCGACTGGTTAGTTTTTGAAATTACAACTCAATGGACAGGGAAAAGAATTCTGTAGTAAAGAGAAAAAGACGTGCAGTTATTGTGATGTTATTTGTTGTGAAAGACGGCCCGAAATTTCGCTACATCGCTGAGCGCCCTGAGCCTGTACTGGTTTCTAAAAGAATTACAAGCAACAGCAATTGAACTATATGACGAAAAAACCAAATACCAATGTGTACAAGCCAATCAAGTCCAACGTATTGTCATTTTTGGATGTGTGAAATAAGTTCAGTTGGATTTGGCGATTTGCAGATGAAGCACATGGAAGGTCAGTTTCAATTAGTTTTATATTAAGTATATTATTGTATCCTATTATACAAGAATGATTTGATTCAATGGTTGCTTTTTATTGGTCGAAAGTTTAATATTGTTTTGACGAGAGAAATGTTTCTCAATAATTTTCAGAATGTTTAGAAAATTTTTGGGCTTGGTTTGAAATTGGGCCATTGCATTTTTTATCTGCACCCCCCCTATTGAGGACATGTGGAATTTCCAATGGCCCCCTGCAAAAGTGAACCAAAAATGAAGGAATTTCCATGGGAGGGTCCAAATTTTAAAGCAAATCTGCGGAAATTCCAAAGGGTAGGTAAGAAAATTGAGTAAAACGTATGGAATTTCCATGGGAGGGTCAACAATGGAAAAGAAATTCCAAAGGATAGGATCAAAATCAGCAAGGAATTTTCCAAGGGATAGCTACTAATCAAAGAATCAATATGGAATTTCCACTGGCTAGATAAAAAAACTGTCAAGGAATTTCCATGGGATGGGTTAAAAGTTCATAAAAAATTCGCGGAAATTCCATGGGGATGGCTAAAATTCAATAAAAATCTGCGGGAATTCCACAGGGGAGGCAAAAAATTCGCTTAAAAATGTGGAAATTCCAGGGGAGGGGGACCAAAAAATGGATGTCCTCAATAGGGGGGGGTTTGGTTTAAAAATGCAATGGCCCATTCAAACCAAGCCTGGTTTGAAATTCAAACCAAGCCCAAAAATCTTCTGAATACAAGTCGTTTTGCCCCAAGTCATTTCGCCCCAAGTCATTTCGCCCCCAATTGGCTAAATCAATTTGTCCCAATGTTTCGTTGCCAAAAAAATATTGTTTCTTTGCCTAAGAGTGTTGTTTCGTTGCCAAGGAATATTGTTTCGTTGCCAAAGAATAGTGTTTCGTTCGGCTATTGTCAAACATTCTCGCGTTTTGTCAGTAATTCTGAATAGGTTTTGATTTTTATGTGTTTGCTGTTTGATCCATTTGTCCACAATACTCGCAATTAGGGGCTAGTTTGTAAGAGATAATTAATTCACTTGCTAATTGGGGGCAAAACGACTTGGGGGTGAAAGAAATGACTTTGGTGTAAAAAAATACCTTTGGTTCCGGTTCCTGACCCACCCTATTTTTTTCTGTCAACCCTATTATTTTTTCAACGTGATTGACCGTGCAACCTTATTTTCTCCAGGCGGTTGCGGGCTGCTGAAAAAAAAAATTTTAAAAACCCAAATTTTTCGCGATATGAAACCGGAACCACAGGTATTTTATTTTACGCCTTGGGTGCGAAATGATCAGATACCAAATTCTTCTAAACATTCTAACTCTGAATTTTTTGAAAATTTCCTGTGGTCCCCCTCCTGTGCTCAGCCTAGATCTTGATTTTTGCCTGTGGTCATTTGATCCAAAGGGCATTTGATCCAAATTTTTCAGAACTGTTTTTTATCAATTGAATGTGCTTATTTTGATGAGAGAGCATTTCTTGTGCTGCCCCAGGGTGCATTTTAAGTGCAATACGCCAAAGATCTTTGGCATTAGTTTGGCAAATTACAATACTATCTATAGTTAAATTAATATTTAAAACAATTATTCCCCTAAGGGAAAGTGATTACCTGTGAATATTATACCTCAAATTCAAATTTCCCAATGAAAAAACAATTCACTCAAATTCATGATTTTGCAATGCAGCGTGAGATATAGAGAATAATACATGGTGCGCAAAAATACCAGATTTATTTCGAGTGTTGAAGATGATATACATGATAACATATATACATATTGTTTATAGACCCTCCGCTCGGGGATTTGGAGAAATATTACCCTCAGTGACAGTGATGATATTTCCTCGGGAAATGGGTAATATTCCGCCGAATTTGGGTAATATTCCGCCAAATCCCCCTCACTCCTGGTCTATAAATGTAGTATAAATTTTTAATGAATAAAACAATATATTCAAATATCAGTTCAATTAAAATTCGGAAATAAAACTTTTTCGGCCTATAATTGTGACTAAAGCTGGTTTTCCATTTCAAGCTGTTGATTGGTTAGTTCTTTCAAAGTATGCCAAAAAGTTGACTTGCAACAAACTTTTTATTTTGATATGCAAATACACCCGTAAGTACATGGATTTATAAACCTCTTTTCAATCTGCACATGCTCACCAGTACGTTTCAGTATGATACGGGCGAAGTGGAAAACAGGCTTAATATAGTGTTCCAGTATTTCTTGTATGCATATGCTTTCAAAATGGCTTTTTTGTTACTTTATTACAATGTTGTTTTCCTCGATTTCTGGTTAGAATACAAACACAATAACGGAATAACGTTTTCAACAGACTTAGAATTAAAACATAGTTTCTGTTTAGAATTATTAGAAATGGCTGAGAAATTTGGTAAAATAAAATGTAAACTAAAGAACATACAGCACAATGAAAACATGACATATCAAACGAAATAGTATCGTACAAATTGAGAAATCTGTAGGATACAACATAAAATGGATTTAAAAGAATATCATGGCAAGGTTTTTCCCCATCAGTCGGGATAGTTTTTGTTACTGTATTTGTTTTTGAGTTTTAAATAAGTTTTATATTGTCTGTGAATATGTTTGACACAGTAAAATAATAAAGGAATACTACCTTTCAAGATGAATACAACATTTTCAAGATAAATACAACATTTTGTGCTTCTTTCGTTTTCTGGGTACGATTTTGTCAATATTTTGAAAACAAATTTGCCGAATCATTATTTTTGAAAAGCATTATTTACTAGTCTGCTAGCCAATCAGAATGTGCGAAAGCTCATTTGATATGCAAAATTTATACTATTGGCGTATAGTTTACATGGAATACACCCTGAGTACTGCCGCCTATGCCTCCTCAGCTTAGGGTTGCTGTGGTCCCTTTGAATTTTATTATACAAATTTTTAAAACATGTTTTTATCGACTGGAAGTAATTGTTTTGATGAGAGAAATGTTTCTTGACAATTTTCATAAAGTTTGTAAGATTTTGGGGCACTTGTTGAATTTTGGGAAAATTTAAAACATTTTTATTGGTCGAAACTAATTGTTTTGATGATGAGAGAAATGTTTCTTGACAATTTTCAGAACATTTTGAGGCACTTTCCTGTGGCCCCCACTGTGCTGAGTCTAGGGTTGCCCGTAATAGGTTTCCTGTGGACCTTTGCTTTTAACAAATGCCAATGCGGCATAGGAATTATAAATTCTGAATAATATTTTGTATGCCAATAAGATTTAAATTTCCTTAGGGAATTATTGACATAGAAATTATACATTTGGGAAAATAATTTTGTTTGCTGCATTCAATCTATTGACCAATCAGGGAGATTCTTTTGTAAATACCCACAACCAATCAGAAGTATGTATTTTTATGCTAAAAGGAAATAGCATTCCAGAGTAAATTGTATTCAAATTTATATTTTTAAATTTAGGGCGTGTTGTAGCTCTATATTTCGCCGTCCTGGTGTAGTTTACTCTACGTCCTCGCCTGTTGGTGAAAAGAAGTACTTTAATTAATTAAAGATGAAGATACGGCACTTAAATACAGCAAAGAAGCATAACATTCGAAGCTAAAGACATGATTAATTTAAGGTATGTTCTACTTCTATCAATTTGATGTGAAATGTTGATATTTTAGCAAGTTAGTCAAATTTGACTATAGCAAGTCGCTTAAGGAGTAATGCGGGCAACAAAATCTGATTTCTACGCATGTTAATTGAAAATGTTTACACATTCATTACAAATCACGAGGCAACATGTGTTGACATTCCTACTTAACATGCCTTGAAATCAGATTTTGTTGCAAGTTGCAGCAATTTTGTTGCTCGTATTACTCCAGCCTTAAGGCCATGTTACACAGTGCAATTTTTCTTGCAACTTGCAATGTAATTCTACTCTTGAGAGATGTAAAATTACCAAATACGAGTCTTCATTACACTCTGCTGATGTTTTCTCAACATATTGAAAATTCTTCACAGATTTTGCTAATTAACATCTCTCAAGAGTAGAATTGCATTGCAAGTTGCAAGGAAAATTACACAGGGTGACATGGCCTTTAGCATTCGACGTTTTGTTCTGGGACGTTATCACAGAGAAGGGCTATACAGAGAGGAAACAGACACCTCGATAACCTGAATTTTTGTGTCACACATTCACAAAATCTTCCAGCCAGTGCCATTGTAACTGCCGTTGCTGAAATTTCATAGCAAAAGATGGGGAAAACACCGTTAGAAAGGCAAAAATCACTTTTTTTTAAAAAAAATGAGATAGAAGTTTTCCATATTGATTTACACTATACACCCCATATTGATTTTTTTGTATTAAAAGTGTTAAATTAATTAACATAACATTTTATTTTGCAAAAGTTTTTTTGCCCCTATCTACTCCTTATTAAAATCGTGAAAAGCACTGGCTGGGAGTATCAGATGCTCATATGTAAAAAACAAAGCAGCAAATGATATAAATTCCTCAAAATATAACTCTCGCATAAAAAAATGAATACTTCTATAATATGTAGTACGTATAGTTTTTTCCTCTGCATTGTCAAAATTTGGTGAAATGAATATAATTTTCTATAGTAAATAGACTAATATATCTGTGTGACACAATTTTCCGCGTGTTTCCTCTCTTTACTATCTCTTCTCTGTGCCGTTATGTTACATTTATTTAATTAAATCAAACAGTGCAAGTTTTTTTGGGACACTCTAGATACATTTCTAACAGTCATCCTTTGTAAAGTGATGATTGGGCTAAGAAAATTTCAATATGTCATTGCTGTTGAAATGTCTTAATTCATTACTAATAGTACTAAGCTTTTGTTGCTGATAATGTACCATCCAGCATCTATTTTTGACAAAATTGTTGCACAAACCATATTCCAATGTTTGCGATGTGACCATTGCATAATGGCTGTCAAAAACGTCAAGATTTAGATTGTTTTCTAAAACATTGTGCGACTTGTGCCCAATTGGGTATTGTTGTGGATTTAGAACTCTTTTTATGCTTTAACCCATCGAGTGGCAGCACTTTCCACTTGACAAGTAAAACCCTGTGGCATTAGACAGAGTAAAATAATAAAGTAGGGTGCATCAGGGCGCAATGTAACTTAAAGGGTTATCCAAAACAAAGTTCATACATTTGTTTGAAAAAAAGATTGGGAACTAGACATTTGCAATATTGAAAAAAATTGTGAATTTCATGTTTATGAGTCATCACAAAACTATTGTTTTCAAGTGTCCAATGCCGCTGCGTGGTTGATCTTCTGTGGTCACAGTTTCTCGGTTTTCGCTTTTAATTTCAATTGCCCATATGCACATTGCCTAAACTTCACCGGTGAAAACAATAATTGCCAAATAATCAGAAATTAATTTGTTTAGTTACAACTTTCGATATTTTAGATATGTGAAAAATAGAACATCGATATTTTTGAAATATCGATATTTATCAAAAATATTGATATATCGCAACTGCAACAACGTAGGGAGGTTGTGTGCTTGATTTGCACAGTGCAGCTCAAGTTGTAAGCATGTTGCATGGGACCATCTGATGTACAAGACTTTCTCTTGAAGAGTAAAATGATCTGATATCAGACATTTGAGTTCCTTTGCAGCTTAATGAGTTAATCTTATTTATCTTAGATAACAGCAATTCAACTATCTGGCTTGAAAAGAAACTACACCAACAATGTGTACAAGGCAATTGAATGTATCCTTGGAAAATTTTCTCTGAGATTATGCAGTGATGTTTACATTGTGTTGTTCAGTTGGATTTGCAGAGGAAGTACTTGAAAGGTCAGTTTTTAAGTGGGTTCTTCTTTTTCAAAAATATCCTGTGGTTCTCCCTTTGATTAGCCTACGGTTGTCTGTAGTTCCCCGTTTGCAAATGACCAACATTTTTCAATTGTTGTTTTTTATCACTTGAAAGTAATTATGTTTGATTAAAAGAATGGTTTTGGACAATTTTCAAAAAGTTTGGGGCAGGCTTGTGCAATTTTAGAATTTTTCAAAAATACCCTGTGTTCCCCCCTTTCGATTTGACCAAAATATTCTAATTCATGTTTTTATGGTAATGTTTATTGACACATTTAGTAGCAGTTACGCTAATTTACAATGTGTTTACAATATTTGGATATAAAAAGGTTGTATATTCTATTTACTTACACATCATTCATTAAATATAAAGTGTTACTAATCTATATCTATTTACGTTATGTAAAAAACTACTAATGTATACCTATTTGTACATTATCCAACTGATAAAATTTTAAAAAGAAACAAACATGATTGTAATCGACCAAGTTAGAATTATACAAGTATATAGAGTAAACCAAAGGACTATGTTGAAAACGTTTGCTTTTATGGTTCAGAAAGTTTGGAGTAGGCTTGTGCAATTTAAGAATTTTTCAAAAATATCCTGTGTTCCCCCTCCTTTTGATTTGATCAACATATTCCAATTCATGTTTTTATCATTTGAAAGTAATTGTTTTAATTAAAAGAACAGTTTTTCACAATTTTCACAAGGTTTGCATTATTTTTCTAGTTATAGATTTGTAATTGTTTGACAGAACTTCTAGTCATATTATGAGATTGTATGGACAACAGAGTTTGAGTTCTTTTAACCATCTTTGAACTTTTTTTCAAACCCCAGTGACTTATTTCAGTGCATGAAAATTGTCCCACCTTTCATCCTGTCCTGACAAACTGGGATCATGTAAACAGCACATTTAACCATTAAATTTGATTTGCACCCTAATTTACCTACTTATATTATTTTAACTCTGTCTAACGTCAGACAATTTTATTAAGCAGGGGGCGCACTGACAGTTAATGGGTAACTAGACACATGGGCATTGGGCAGTCTCATTATGAAGCGTAAAATCGTCTGGTCACTCTGGTGTTGGACAGTAAAATACTCAAGTAGAGCATGCACCAGGGCACAGTATACAACCTAATGGTTTAATTTGTTGTTTTTTTTGTAGCAAAATGGTTTAAGTTTTATATCTGAATTAATTATTGATTTTTTGCTTTGTTTTACAGATCATTACTGAACATGCTGATGAATTGTGACTATACTAAATGGATACAAAGAGACTATGATGGATAAATATGGCCCCGTAATGGATATTCAGTTAATGGTATACAAAGGTCACAGAAAGTCTACTTTCAGGTATTGTTCTTTTTTGTTTGCCTGCGAACAGGCTGTAGATACTTGTATCCAGGCCATCCATTGTTTGTTTTGTTGTTCTGGGTACAATGAAATCCGGCATAAATCCTGGCGGTCTAAATGTTCAGTATATTTACACATTCGATCTATTTTCTGTTCAATAGACTTTGATAGGCTGAACGAAAGTTTATAACGATGATTTTCTTTGCAAAAACTGTACTTTCGAAATTCATCAGCTTCTGGATTTGAAAATGGATCTGAAAAGAGAGAACATTTGAGTGTATGGTTATTACCATTTGCATTGAAGCCTTAAGCGAAATTACGGTTTGTTTCCAGTTTTGAGAACATGGGTTTGCTCAATGAAAATTGTACGTTTGACAGGTCAAAGTTGTACGTTTGACATTTCAATTTTCAAAACAACACTTCGCTGGGCGGGACTTACTGTATATTAAAAATAAACCTCTGGAAGGTACAGTATTGCTTACACAGGATTTATAAACTAGTTATTTACTAAACAACACAGGATTTATAAACTAGTTATTTGCTAAACATAGACTTTAATAGTTTGACATTTCATTGACATCATATTAACATGTATCCATTCGTATTATTATACAGGGTGTATATCGCATTGAGATATATCCCTTATTTGCTTTCAACGTTTCGATCAGTTCCAAGTCATTGTCAGTTAATTTGCGATTATTAATACGTAGTCCTCCACGGGATTGTACAGCAAAACTGTTTCTTTGGCAAAATTCCCTCCATATCTTTGCAACTGTTTGCTGCGAAACGCAGAAACGTTTTGAAATCTCGATATAAGTAACTGGAATATAACCTGTTAAACTGTCTCCTCCCTTCTCAATAATTGTGTCCAAGATTAATACTCGAAAGTCTTCTGATAAAGGTTTTCCAAACTTATTCGTTTTAAAATTATCCATTTGTTAGTTTTGAGTATATTAAACACTATTAAATCACTAATAAATAAAATCGAATATTCAAATGTAGTCTGTATCAATAAGTCCCGCTCAGCGAAGTTTGACCTGTCAAACGTACAGTTTTCATTGGGCAAACCCATGTTCTCAAAACCGGAAACAAACCGTAATTTCGCTTAACGCTTGAATGCAAATGGTAATATTGCATGGTTCTAATGATTCGTTTATGTTACCATTGTTTCCCTCTGTGTAAATATACTGCCTTAGTGCACACACATTACAAGCGCAGCAACGCAACAGTTCAGACAGGGTCATGAGGCAGGATGTGTACAAGAAAAGCTTTGCCAGAGTTTTGAACGACGATTGGAAATTGCTGTTTGATTCTTTGTAATATCTTATCGCTCGTTAGTAAAAAAGAAATTTGTCGCTTTCCTCAACTAAACCTTTTTTCAAAAAACTGGCATCGTTTGTCTTGGGGTTAGGGGGTACAAATGGTACCCATAAGCTTAGAGGGTGCAAATGGTACCCGTAAGAAGACTTGGTGGAAATCATGTTGGTCGTTTGGATTGGCGAGAATAAGACAATTATATGGTGGCAAAGTTTTTTTAAACATTTTCTCTCCCGTAGTAAGGTAAAGCATGTATTTTCCTGGTAGCCGGTCTTACTTCATGAAAAAACAGTCCGCTACCAGTGACTAGGTCCCCTCTCTTATGGCGGTCATTGCGGCTCAATACCTTCAGGGATATTCCTTTTCAGGGCGGTTGCATGCGGATAATATGGTCCGTCGCGTGCGCAAAATAGTTAGGAAGATAGACAGTTTAGAGGCGTCGAGACTGCGCAATATACACTCGCACGAAACGTTGCCATTTTGCAATTTGAATCTGGGTTTTGCGTTTCTGGCAAAGCCTTCAGATTCAAGTTGTTACGACATTTAACAACACATTAAGTGTAAATACGGCATTTCTAATGAAAAGACCGCCAGGGTTAGAGTGTTTTTATGTTGGTTTGTTAAGGAGCAAACTCGCTTTTGAAAAAAATAAATATGTATTAATTTCGATCCAGATTTGTTCCTGAACAGGGTCGCCATGTAAACACTCTGTATGTTAATAAGTTGCTATCCTGGGGTTGCGTACAATCTGTACCCACACGATGTGTGCCAATTTTAAATGAATAACTAATATGTATAAATACGGCGTGCACACTGATTTTTTTTCGCACGATGTTCTGGTTTTAACTTCGGGGAAAATAATAAAAAAGCAGTGTCCGTGGTCGGGGCTGAATAGTACTGTGGAAGATTGGGTTGGAAAATTTGCAATTAAGTCTGTATTTTTGGGCAATTGTTACTTTTCGAAAAATAGTATTCCTACTGATGTAAAATAACATCTAAAGGGTTTGACAACAATGATGTCCGAAGAGGATGTTCGCCCTAAACTTTATTTCATGAAATGATTTATCTTTGTATATACTCACTTACAAGACATTTAAAAAAATTTCGAGTAAAAGTTTAATAACAATTGATATAAATTGAAACTCATTCTGGCTCAAATTTTATTTCATCAAATGATTTCTCTCAGAATACTCAATTACATGACAATTCAAAAAGAATATTTAAAGTCAAAAGTTTAATAACATTAATCAAAATGGCTACTCGTATGGTTGTGTCCACAGAAGCCTTGGGCATTATATTAGAAATACGACGTTTTTCAAACATGTTTCGAATCCAATATGATAGATACGGCAGGCGTTCTACTCTGGAGATAAATTGGAAAA